ATCTATTTAATGATATTGTTAAGATTTTTGAACATTTTCTCTTTTAATCATCTTAACCTTGAGGTTATTTTATTTCTTTTGTATGTGAAATTATCTAAGGAGTAAAATACTTGCTAAAGTCTCACAGCAAAAATGTTAATTCCAAGCAAGTGTTTGAAACTTCTATGTTAAATTAAAGTTAAGGGAAAAAAAATGTTTTGCCCATTGCTCTCTATTCCTCACAATTTTCCCCATGGTACCCAGTACCTGGAACCTGGAACTCAAATGTTCATTGAGGAAGGGAAATTGGAATGGATATCCAGGAAGCCAATTCAGAGTTTTTTCAATAAACATTTCACGGGGATATTGCAGCAAGGGCTTAAGCATCCATTAGATGGTTAGATGAGATGACTTGAGGTCTCTTTTGAAAAACTTTGAGGGCAAGGTCAATGTCCTCTTTGTCTATATTGTATCCTCAGCTCACTACTATGCCTGACACATAGGAAACAATCAATAAATGCTTGGTCAATAGAGTGATTACATAAAGCATGTGTTTCTCCTATCTCCGCCATCTTTCAGAAGTGGACCTTCATATACTGTTTATTCTCCACTTACGTTGTATAGATATTTTTACTTGTAATTGGCCATTTGATTTTCTGTTTCTAAATGGAGGATGAGTGAGTACGTACATGCACCTTCTATTTAGACTTTGATACTTCATTAACTCCGTGTAGGACTGAGCATCACAGAACCTGTGTGGTTGTCTGATGGGTCCATCTCTCCTGTTTTTTCCCTTTGAGGTGCTGATGATTGAACTCAGGTCTCTGCACAAGTTAGGCAAGAGCTGTAACACTGAGCTACACCCAAAGCCTTATCTCTTTATTGTATGGGAAAGTACCAACACAAACTTTTAACCCTGCAGAAGACACCTTCCTCCTGAGCTTAGAAAAAGTATCTTAGCTCCTGAAGCATGACAAATACAGGATGATTAATCTGATAACAATACTATCATGACAGTTCCCCAAACAGCGTGTCCTTGATGTGGCTCTGTTTCTGTGAGGTGCGAAGGATGATAAGGAGATCTGCTAGTTATTTGGTAAATGCCTCCTTCTTTTGTTACCATTTTCATAATATGGGTTTTTCTACTTATTCAAAAATATTGCTTAAAGGAATTTTTTGGTGTTTCCTCTTCTGTTTAGCTATTTGTAGAAACCTACATTTTATTTTGCATGCAGACTCAGGTCTGTAAATTTCTATAAATGAATTGTAGAAATTATTATTTAATTAAAGTACCCAAAGATCAATACCTTTTAGGAATTAAAGTGAATTCATTGCACATTATGTACAACTTCATGTTTTACTTTACAAATTTTCATTTGGTAAGTTTCAATATACAGTTTTGCTTATTTTAAATGCTAAAAAAGTAAGTGTTAACAATGGAAAGGTTATTTTAACACCAAAATCAAAACAAAACAAAACAGTGGAACCAGGCTTGGTGTCACATGCCTGTAGTCGCAGCGGCTTGGAAGGCTGAAGCAGTAGAATCACAAGTTCAAGACCAGCCTTGGCAACATAGTGAGACCCTAAGGAACTTACTTAAACCCTGCCTCAAAATAAAATATAAAAAAGTTCTGGGGATGTGGCATCCCTGGGTTCAATCCCCAGTACAAAAAAAAAGGTGGGGGGGGGACTCACATATTAAACACAATGATAATTAAATACTTGAAAAAGAAAATGTTATCCAGCTAGACTGGTTGTGAAAACCAAATTACCTCAAATTTCTTAAATGTTCTTAATTTTTTTCACACATATATGCAGACACCCACGTACGGAGTAAATCTAACAATCCTAAATAACATGAGAGAATTGTTTTAGTAGTTTTTGAGATACTTTTATCACCACACACGTAATTTGCTCTGAGTATTGATTTCTAGATTTCACGAAATGCTCCTTTGGCCAGGGAAGGATCAAGTTTGTCCTCCAAATTTAGAATAAGAGGGAGGAAATAAAAATTTAGACAACCAGTTGGCTGAGATGTCCCTTCCACCCTTTCATTGGCTTTCCCTTTGTTGGCCTACTATCCTCCCACAAAAACCTTTTTTCTCTTTGCTTAATATTGATGTCTCTGTTCTTTTTCTTTAATTGTGATAAAATAGAGATAACATAAAGTTTACTATCTTAAACATTAAGTGATCAAGCCCAATAGTGTTAAGTACATTCTTCTTGTTTTTCAACCGTCACCACCATCCTTTTCCAGAATTCTTTTTGTCTTGCAAAATCAAAATTGAACATTAAACAATAACTCTCCAGTCTCTCTCCTCCCAGCCTCTGGCAATTATCATTCTACTTTCTGTCTCTATGGATTTGACTACTTGAGGACCTTACATAAGGAGAATCAAACAGTATTTGTGTTTTTGTGACTGGTTTATTTCACTTAATGTAACATATCCTCAAGGTTCATCCATGTTGTAGTATGTGCAGAATTTTCTTCCTTTTAAAGGCTGGATAATATTCCATTGTAAGTATCTATCAGGTTTTGCTTGTTCATTGATTGATGGACCATTGGGTTGCTTCCATGTTTTAGATACTATAAATAATGATGCTGTGTGATTAATGGCCCAGTTTGGATCTGGAATGTCCCTGAAAGTCCCATGTGTTAAGACTTAGTCTTTAGTTTGGTGCTGTTGGGAGGCAACAGAACCATTAAGATGTGGGTCCTTATGGGAGGTTTTCACTGGGGGCTTGCTCTTGAAGGGGATTGTGAAACTCTGGTCTCTCTTGTTTTGCCTTTGGCCACCATGAGATAAGCAGCCTCTTCTACCACATGCTTATGCCAAAATACATTGCCTTGCTGCAGGCCAAAAGCAACAAGCCAACATCCAGAACTGTGACCCAAAATAAACCTTTTCTCTTTATAATCAGATTATCTTGTGTGTTTAATACAGTAATGGAAAGCTGACTAACGCAATTACTATTTCCACAGAATATATTTTTCCAGACTTTCACTGTCAACCTATTAGTGTTTCTAGATCTAAAGTGATTATTTTATAAATAGTATATCATTGGATCATTTTATTTTTATGCATTCTGGCAAGTTCTGCATTTTGATTAGAGTGTAGTCCATTTACATTCAAAGTAATTACTAATAAAGAGGGACTTCAGTCATTTTGCTATTTATTTATTGGATTTTTTTCCCATTTCTCACATTGCTGTCTTTTTTTTTGTTGATTTTTTTGCAGTGAAATATTTAATACCTTTATTTCCTCTTTTGTACACTCTATAGGTATTTTCTTTGTGGTTCTCATGTTTTAATATCCTAAAGTCATCACACTGATTTAAATTTATGCTAGGTTAACTTCAGTAACAAATAAAGCTCTGTTCCCTCAATGTCTTAATCTCTACCCCCTTTCATTTATTAATGTCACAAGTTATATCTTTTTACATTATTTGTACAAAAACAAATCAACAATTGTGATTTTTTATGTCTTAGTCTCTTCAATTACATAGAAAACAAAATGTAGATCTACAAACCACTCTTACAATAATATCAACTTTTCAACTAATAATTATTTTTTCAAATATTAGTCCCAAATTATGTAGGAAACAAACAGCAGAATTACAAACTGGCCTTGTAATATGATCTGCTTTTTATAATTGTTCATGTACTTATCTGTATTTCTTTATGTGACTTCAAAAACTGTCGAGTATCCTTTATCTTTACCTGCAGTGCTCCTTTATCAGTTCTTATAAAGCAAATCTGATGATCATGAACTCACTCAGCTTTTGGAGAACCTGGGTGTGTCTTACTTTCAGTCTCACTTTGCTGAATTTCAATTGAAGGTCTTTCTTTCAGCACTTACTAGTTCACTTCAAGTTTTCTGATGAGAAATCTGTTCAGAGTCTTATCAAGAATCCTTATATTTGACAAAGTACTTCTATCCTGCTGCTCTCAAGCTTCTCTTTGTATTTGTTATTCCACCACTTGACTATCTGTTGTGGCATGGTCCTGTTTGTATTTGTCCTATTTGGAGTTCATTGGGCTTCTTGGACATTTATATTTATGCCTTTCATCAAATCTGAGAAATTTTTGTTCATTATTCCTTTGAATAATCTCTCTCCCCCATTCTCTTTCCTTCCTTTAAGACCCTGGTAATTCATATGCTGGTGTGCTTAAGGGGGTCTTATAGTTCCCTCAGCCTCTCTTCATTTTTCTTTATTCCCTTTTCTTTCTGTTGTTCAGACTTGCTCATTTCAATTGGCCTTTCTTCAAGTTCATTGATTCTTTTTGCTTTTTGCTTCTATCGTCCTTTCGATTCCTCTAGTGTATTTTTCATTTCAGTTATTGTCCTTTTTAACTCCAGAATTTCTTTTTATTTTTATTCTTAAAGGCTTTCTATTTCCTTATTGTTATTTTCATTTTGTTTATTATGTTAGTGTTTCATAGTTGTGACAAAATTTCTAATATAATCAACTTACAAGGAGGAAAGTTTTATTTTGGCCCATGGTTTCAGCCCATTGTTGCTTGCCCTCTTTGCCTTTGGGCCTGTGGGGGCATAGTACATCATGGGGGGCATGTGCTAGAACAAAAGCTTACCTCATGGCAGCTAGGAAGCAAAATAAGAGCAAAGAGTTCATCTTCCAATAACCCCTGCAAGGGCACACCCCCACCGACCTAACTTTCTTCCACGAGTCCCCACCTTCCTCAGGTTCCACCACCTCCCAAATGAGCCACAGGCTGGGGAGCAAGTCTTTAGCACATGGGCCCCTGTGGACGTTATAGATCCAGACCAGAACACTCATGTATTCTTTTCTCGTGCTTCTCCACATCTTTCTTCAATTCTCTGAGCATCTTTGAAACAGTTGTTAATTCCTTGCCTGGTAGTTCTGCCATCTGATTTTCTTAGGGATAATTTTTGGTTTTGGTTTTATATTCCTTTGAATGGATCATACTTTTCTGCATTAATAAGTTATTAATTGTATGGACATATACTATCAAACATATTATATGTTTCATTTTAAAGATTACAAACCATTTTAAGAAGGACAAGTGGAAGGGGGTGGCAGGTGCAGGCACCACATCTGGCCAGGAAGGTGCAAGAAGAATCCCCTGAGACAGGCCAAGGAGATGAATGAGGAAGATGAGGCTATCAAGCAGAAACAAAAGAGGAGCACACGAACTTGAGGAGGTAGAAGTGAAGGCTACGCAGAAGGACCCCTGGAATTAAGAAATCTGGCAAAAAGAAAGCTGTTCCTGTACCTGAGATGATGGTGACTGAATGGTGACAATTCCTTCTTGAACATCGGAATTCCCTGCCAAAATATTTTTGCCACCTATACCTACAAAGAACCATTGTCTTGGAATCTGTTGTAAATTTAAGAATAAACTTTCATTTAAAATAAATAAAAACAACCACATCTTTTTGAAAATGCTGTCAATGTTGTGACTGTGCTGTATGATAAAGTTTCTTAACAGTGAGACAGTCAGCCACCCCCACTGGAAAGGGCAAATGCACTCCTGGGCTTTAACTCACGGCCTGACAGCCATTAAAAGATGCTGTGTGCTTTTTCCTGTTTTCCACCTAAACTCACAGTTTGTCAGACACCAGAAGCTTAGTGTGTGCCTCACTCATCCACTCTCAGTCCGACCAGCCTAGGAACCAGGTGCATCATTAAAGCCAGGACACCCTCACCATGGCTCTCCAAGGACAGACGACATAAAGGGACACTGTTGGGAGCCACCTAAAACAGCAACTTCCCAGGACCCTTAACTTGTTAATCACATGATTTGTGTTCTCTTCACCTCCCGCCATGTGTTCTCTTAACAGCTTTAGCAACTCATCCTTATTAAAAGGCAAGCATGTTTATGCGAGAGCAGCATCAATCTGAGATGTAACTTTTGGTCCAAGAATGACCAGGACGACCAACTCACTACTCCTCCCTTGAAGTCGAAGTGCTTACTCAGGAAAAGAAAAGCATGTACCTAAAGTCAATAATCATTCCTAAACTCTAGTCCATCCCTAACACCCTTTCACACGTGTACAAACAGCCCTCTTCTTTGTCCTGAGAACCCCTGGATGCTCTCTTGATCAATGCTGTCTCCCTTCTGCTCTACCAAGAATTGCTAAGAAAGAGTCTTGTTCCCATCAGAGTGATGCCTTTGATATCTGATTCTTCTGATGGAGAGAAGAATGCACTAAGCTGGTAACAGCACTGGCTCCATGTTGAAAAGCATATGCCTGTTCCCAGGTCCAGAGATTCTGTTTGGTCTGGGGTATGGCCAGCTTTAATATTTTCGAAATGTTCCCCCAGGTGATCCTAATAGGAATAGGAGTCTCTGGTCTATACCTTCTCTAAGGCGACTCAAAATAGACTGCTCAGACTTTTAGCTTCTGTTAGGATAGAGCTCCTGATTTCCTTGTGAGTGTTCATCCATACTTTACAATTCCAGGCATATCGTCATATGCCACACATACGTGATTGTGGGCACAGTTGGGGGTCAGCCAGGTTCTGTTGAATCTCTCTTATTCCTTTGTACTCCTCCTATGCCCTCTGCTTTTGCTTCTCCTGTCTACACCTGTGTCTTTTTTGGAGGTCTGCCCAGTGTCTATTGGAGCCACTATGTGTACAGGCACAGAAAGCAGGAAATGCCTGGGAATGTCCATCCCTCACTGGCCAGCACTTAGCCAGTAGCCAATGGATGCAGCCCATGAAAGCCCAGCTCTCTGGCCTCCAGCTGAGGAAAACTAAGGTGAAACTCAAGAGTCAGATCAAAATGAATCTTCTATCCAGGGAACTTTGTCTGAGGTCACCACTCTTCTTGGCCTTCCCCCCCTTGCCTATCCTGCTTTTCTCCTCCCCGGGAGCACTTTCTGAATTGATCACTTATAACGTATCCTGTCTCGAGATCTCCTTTTGGGGACCCAAAGTGGGTCATGGTTTGTTGATAGTCCTATGAAGTAACTAACCCTGGAAGTAAGTTAGTTAGGGGAGGAAAGAGAAAATAAGCAAATGAAACATTAATTGTAAAGAAGTAACTAAACGTATTCACCAATGATTATTCTTAAAGTCAACAAAGAGGATCTTCTAGTTTAAATCTTCATTTGAAAGCTAAAAGATCGTTTTGTGTGCTTTTAAAAATTGCCCAGGGACATTATGCCACAACAACTGACATTTCCATCTATTAGACAACAGTACCAAAAACAAAATGTTTTCATATATTTGATCATCAGAAAGAGTTTCAACCAGGCTGACTCTACCAAAGTTACACACCCGGATTCCATCTTTTGGTTACTGGAGTGAGACAAGTTCTGACTGCCCATGCAGGGACATGGTTACACGAGAAACCAGAACAGATGAGATTTTTCTCTGTTTTTGCAAGAAAAATATTGGGTTACTCTAAGTAGGTCATGGTATTTCAAGAATCATTTGGGGACCACTTGCAGATGGAAAGACACAGTGGATTCAATTTAGTTTCTGTTTGAGTGCTGCTCTAACAGATGATTGTTTTCCACTTAAGGCGGCAACCTTAGCCAAGAAGTAAATACTAGATCAACCTAAGCTTTCTCTAGGAAGTGGTCTCTCATGCAGAATCAAGGCCAACAGTAGCACATTGACAGTTCTTTTCTGAATGCACTGATTCCGAGGCTAAGTGTATTAGCTCCCCATTGCTGTAGCAAATATCTGAGTTAATCAACCTATAAAGAGAAGAGGTTTGCTGTGGCTCACCATTTTGGAGGCTCGATTCCATGATTGGATGGGCCTATCATTTGGGGCTGTGGGAAGGCAGCACATCTTTGAGGGAGCACTTACCTCATGGCCAGGAAAAAAAACAGAGAAAGAGGAAAGGGTCAGGGCCCCTCTGTCCCCTTCAGGGGCATGCCCCCACTGACCTGAAGCTCTCCTACTAGGACCTCCTTCTTAAAGACTTCACCACTTCCCAGTACGTCACCCTGGAGACCAAGCCTTTAATACGTGAACCTCTGGGAGGTGTTAGGGTTTAGATCTGAAGCGTCCCCCACTTCATGATGATGTGCCCCACTTCGTGATGAAGTCTTGATGCCCAATGCAGCAGTGTTCATATGGGCCTTTGAGGGCCTTTGAGAGGTGATTGGATCCCAAGGGCTCTAATCTCATCCAAGGTTTAATACATTCATGGTTTGAAAATTGAGTGGGCTGTTGGGAGATGGTGGGAACTTAGGAGGCAGAACACAGTTGGCAGAAGTAGGTCCTCAGGGATGTACCCTTGGAGGCTATATCTTGTCCCTGGGCCCTTCCTGTTCTCTCTCTCTCTCTGTCTCTGCTCCCCAGCCTCCATGAGATCAGCAGCTTTGTACTACCACGTGCTCCCTCCCACGATGTTCTGCCTCACCACGGGCCCAGAAGCCAAGTGACCAAAGACTGAAACTTCTGAACCTGTGAGCTAAAGTAAACCTTTCCTTTTCTGAGTCGATTTTCTCAGGCATTTTGTCACAGTGACAGAAAACTGAATAACAAGGGGAACATTCAAGTTCCAAGCTATGGCACTGAATAAAAGTTTCCATTTCCCAAAGCTGTCAGTCCGATGACTTTCTTGACAATTAAATTTAGTCAATAATTTTATAGAGAGAAGAGAGAGGGAGAAATTAAGCAAAATGTCCATATGTCATCTGTTAAAAAATGTTTTATTGAGACAATAAACAAATAACATCAACATGCACTAAAATTTTAATTAAAATATGATTTACAATGTTACTATATACTACTAGAAGCATTCTTATTGATGGGAAATAAGATTGCTTTTGTTTGTATCCTTAGGACACTTGAACACCCCATTTGACTTTTTGGGTCTCCCACCCAAGTAGTATGTTCTTATAATATCTTTTCCATGCCCATGAGCATGAAAATTCTTCTTAAAGCTTTAAAATACAATGGCAGTATCAATCGTTCTGTTTCATTGCTGGCTACATCACTAAATAGATGTATATTATGTTCTCTTGCCTTCTGCTCAGAAAAATCTAAGTATTGCATTTCTGTCAATCCATTGATTGAAGAGCCTCCCCCACAGAATGTTGACAGCTGTTTCAGACATTTACAAAATAACTTGGATAACAGCTGCAAACGGATTGGCTAAAGAAGATTTGGTACCATGTAATTACCATTCATCAAATGCACACATTCCCATAGAAAAACCTTTTCAACCTAAAAGTTGACTATCAGGAAGCTGCTATCAGGAAGCTTTCTAAGTCTCCAAACAAGACTTGCTAATGCTTAGTTCTCCATTAGCTCCACTAGCTTTAAATGAAGCATGTTACTATAATTATTATTAAGTTAATGTTCAATATTGTATATAACTAATATTGCTTTGGTTTCTGTCCTTTGTCCATCTAAATAAACATCCATTTGAGAATGATATCAGGTAGAAAAATAAAATGAATTCCTACATTACACACACACACACACACACACACACAACTCATTATGGTAGGTGATGATTTTTCTATAATACCCTGATAAATCTTTTACTTAAGTAGATGTAATTTTCCAGGTCACTTAATTAATTACTTTGATTGGCATAAAGATGTTCTTCATAGGAAGCAAAACTTTCTATGTATTTTGTCATCACTATGTTCAGGAATGCATTAAAATGCTGCAAGTAAACACCCAAATATTCATGGTAATTATTTAGTACAGCATGAGTATGGGAGATGTTTACTTCTTCCTGTATATTGCATATGTTTTACTTGAGCATGAAATTCTTATATAACTGAAAGGATAAACTTTATATTATAATACGTTCAGGCTGGATGTGGCTGTACTTGCCTATAATCCCAGGGATTCGGAGGCTAAGGCAGGAGGATCTCAGTTTGAGGCCTGCCTCAGTAACTTAGCGAGGCCCTAAGAAACTTAGTGACACCCTGTCTCAAAAAAAAGAAAAAGGACTGGGAACATAGCTCAGTGGTAGAGCATCCTTGGACTCAATCTTCAGTACCTCAAAAAGAACAATGTTTTGAATACTTAACTACACATTAATACTGAATACTGAAACTACATGTTACCTTCAGAGCCAAAGAACCACTGGCTCTTCAACTATCTTGAAAGAAACTTTCATTTAAAATGAGCTTTTCCAGAAACTATGTTTTACAGATTAGATGATAGATAGATAGATAGATAGATTAGATGATAGATAGATAGATGGATGGATACTTATTTATCATGTGTATATCTTACTTGGCTGAGTATCTACATAAATTAAAAATTGCCCATTTAAAAAAATTGACTTACTTTCATATTCTTGAGTTGTATGCATTCTTGATATATTCTACATACAACTCCATGTTTTTTGAAAAATTTCTTCAGGCATGTGACTTGACTTTTTAATTTTTACATTATTTTTTTAAGAGCAAAAGTTTTAAAATTTTTTACTGTTTTGATTTTTTAGAGTTCATACT